CCCATCCCCCCCATCATTGCCCCTCTACCGGCCTACTTTGCAGGCTTGCCCCCCCCCCCCAATATTATGTGGCATGCTTGCACCTCACAAACGACTTGGCTTCTCAAATACTGTACTGGCATCTGAAGGGTAGCTCAGAGAGGCTGGCTCATTCCCAGACAGCCGCCAAAAATAACAGGTAAAGGTAAAGGTTCCCCTTGACATTGAGTCCAATTGTGCCCGACTCATCCCCGTCTCCAAGCCGTAGAGCCAGTGTTTGTCCGAAGACAATCTTCCATGGTCACGTGGCCGGCGCGACTAGGCACGGAACGCCATGACCTTCCCAACGAGGTGGTACCTATTTATCTGCTTGCATTTGCATGCTTTTGAACTGCTAGGTTGGTAAGAGCTAGGACAAGGGTTGAGGGCTCTGTCTCTCAGAGCCAGAGGTTGGGATTTCGATTCCCCTACTGAGCCTCCTTGAAAGAGGCTGGACTTGATGATCCATAGGGGTCCCTTCCAACTCTCAAGTTCTATGATGATGATGAAACTGGAAAGCACTCCATAGCTGTGTTCCAGAGAAGGAGAGCAAGAAGAGCTAAGCCACTGCCTGTTGTTTGCTCTGTGGCATCTCTTTTAAGACCAGAGGGACGAGGCACCTGGTGCAATGGAAAAACCACCAAAGAAGGCATCAACCTGGCATCTGGGTATAAACAACGGGGCCTGCATCGCATCAATTCTAAGGTGGAATGTCAATACATCACCTCCAGATTCCCCCTCCCTCCGTGTCCTCGGTTTGGAGCTGGTGCACACAGATATACAGATGGAGGGCTCCTGACCCATTGCATCAACGTGCAAAATTCATAAAATTAAAGAAGGGAGGAGAAATTTCTGTAATATTTGACTGCTTAGAAGCCATAGCTGCTGGAAATCGGCGGTGTGAGCCATTTCTATGGGGGCATGATGCCCTTTTCATAGTGTTTGCTGCAGTTCCATTTTGCTTGTGTGTTTTTTTTTTAAACACACACTGGTCCTATCCCAAACATGAATTTTGGAGGAAGTGGTTCAGTTAGAAACAGCAAGATGTGCCATTGGAATAACTTGGAGCGGGGGGCGATTTAAGATACAGATCCTGTGTCGGTCTGTCTGAAGAATCTGAATGCCTGGTCCCATCACAGAAGACACATTTTTAAAAGTTTTTTTTCTTTTTAATTTTCACCTGGATCATTCCCTTCTTAACTACCACTAACTTAATTTGCGAAAGCTTCACCCAGTCTGCTCCAGCTTAAACATGGCTACCGTTAGCTTCAACCTCAACCAGCTGCACAGAAGTTTAATTACTCAAATTAACTTAGAATGGATCCAGGGCTGTTTATTAAAAAAATTAAGGCAGGGGTGGGAGGTGCTGGCTACAGCTGCTCCTAAATCAGATTCTGGCTTTCCATTTGCTCCAGCTTGGATGGATACCTACTGTATGTATAAATTTAAAAAAAACACTTAACATATACAAACCCAAGGAAGGAGGCGGCTGATGGCAGCGGTCGCAGAGTTTTACTTTCGTGCCTGGAGAACAGATGTGCGCCTTGCCTTGCTGGTTCCACTACTCCTGTTTTGCAGCTGCTGCTATCGTTGTCATTTTCGGACCGTTTCTCCTTTCTGTTCCCACCTCCTGCTTTAAAAAAGGACTAGAGGCTAAGAAGGAAGCAAGAGACAGACCACAGCTCCCTGGTGGCCTTTTGAAAAAGAAGAATCAGGCAGCCTAGGAGAACGGAACATGTCAGCATCCCAAGACACACCGGCCCAAACCCTAGTGATTTATCATCACATCATCATCATAGAACCGGAGATCTGGAAGGGGCCATGGAGCCCAGCCCCTGCCAAGGAGGCACCAAAGGGGAATCAAACTCCCAACCTCTGTAGAAGGGTCCATCGGCCAAGCATCCCTCTCTCCAGAAAGCTCTCATTTCTTGGGACAACTACTCCCAGAATCCCCCAGCCAGTCTCTGCTGCACATCATGGCCCATCAAAGTAATGTGTCTAAGCTGCACTCTGTGCAGGCCTTGAGGAGGTTCACAGTTAGTGGAAAAGATTAGCGGACTTACCAAGTTTCCTGGGAGGAGGAGGAAAAAAACCCCATGTTTTTACCAAGAGGATTTTTGGAAGCGCGTCCTTTCTGTGGAGACTGGCTCTCTCTGCTGGCCTCTTGTAGCCACTGCAGGTCTGACATCCTTCCTGGCCGCGACCCATCCTTCCATATGTACCAGGTATGCACAAGTCCTCTGCCCCAGGTGGAAATACTGTGGTTGGAATACAGATGCTCCTTGCATCTGGTGAAGTGCCGTGACAAGCCGCCAATGCCCATGTTCACATAAATGGGTCCCGCTTAGAGATGCCCTCCTTCCTCATCCTTGAAAATTGGACCGTCACAACCCAATGCATCTGAAGGTTGCTGGCCTGCAGCCCTGGCATCATCACTAGCCTTGTCAGCTATTCGGCCAGGAGGGGTTTTCTTTCCCGAGGAAGAAGCCGACATCCCGTCTCTCACCTTGCCATGGATCCCAGCCAGCCAGCCAGCCTTTGGGAGGGAGCTGTCTGGCCACGACAGCACAAGACAAGAGGAAACAGCCCAGCAAAAGGAGACCTGAGATCCTATAGACTGAGGTTTAAATTCTCCTAGCCAAGAAACTCTTCTTAGTCTAAACTACCTCGCCGAGTGCTGGAAGGGTAAAAGAGATGGCAGAACGACGAGCCCCTTTTCCTGAACTCTTTGAAAGAGGTGGTTTTCAGGGGAAATGCAAGATCTTCCAGATGTGTCTTCTTCATAGCACCTCGCTTGCTGCTGACCTGCCAAGCAACTGAGCTGGCATCCATCTGGCAGTTGTAACCGAATAACCCACATTTCTAAGGCTTCTCGTCAGTTCCAAGAGGTCTTTGCCACGTTGCGCAAACCAGGGTGTCGTTTTCGCACCTCTCCCTTGCTAATTATAAAACCACAGGAATGCATTATTGGTTCCGAGTCAAAGCTGAGAAAAGTGCTCTCCCCTGCTGCAATGTATTGCATGAACACTGTTTAATAGGGTCTACTAGTTTATTAGGATGGCTAAGCCCGGGCGTAATAATTATGTGTCATCAAGGAAATTCTGAGTCATGATGATCCTTTCAGGGTTTTCCAGGCAGATCATACTCAGAAGTGGTTTCCCCCTTTCCTTCTTCTGGGGGGCGCCCTGGGATTGTCCAGCTTGCCCAAGAACACGTAGGCTGGCTCTACATGCAAGAGATCCAGTGGGGAATCAAACTCCCAACATCTGGCTCTGCAGCCAGATGCCTGAATCTAAACCTATCCGGCCAGCTGAGCCGACACTTAACCGCCCATCAGTAGATATTGATACAACCATGGAAACAATAGCTGCTGGAGTGGAGAGTAAGTGGAGGACAGAAACATTCCCACGACTGATCAGCCCACTCCCCTGCATTTCTCACAGAACTGCAAACACCACTAGGTATTAAACGTCTATGAATATTCCTTTTCCCTCCGTGGGATTTTTGCAACCTTACAATTTGGAGATTTGGGAGTGCCAAAAAGAAGGGGGGGAGGAAGGACAGAAATAACTGTCCTGGAAAAGCAGGCTATGGACTGGTGAATCTCAAATTCTGAAGGCAGGCCCAATATATCTCGATTGGTTTCCCCATTTTGTGTGTTGCACAATCACCACTGAAAAGCCACCCGTCCCTTACAATCACCATGACCCTTCATTCAGAAGGCAGAAGCCCCACATTCACCCACTGGCTGGTCCTTAACAGCGAATCAGGTAGAGAGATGGGAACCTTTGCTTTCCTGGACTAAAACTCCCAAGGAGTTTTACGGCCAGCAAAGCCACTCAAGCATTGGGTCATACATACATGGAACTGGAACTCTACCTGCCTCTAGAATCAAACACGAGCAGCCATCCGCGTCTTCTACTTTACAGATGAGTGGGGGAAGCACAGAAGGTAAGCATTTCCAGAGACAAAACAGCAGTCCTATACCTTCCTGCCCCACTCTCCAGCAGAGGCGCACTTCCCACCCGAGGCAAACTCGCCCCAGGCTCGTGCGCTTGTGATGCACAGAACTACAATGGCCATGAGCCCCAGCCAGCACTGGTGGCGGTGGAGGAGGCTGGGGCATGGCTGTGCCCGAGGCCATGAGTGGGGAAACTGCCCTCTTTCCAGCTGTTACACAACTGCAGCTTCATCACGTCTAGCCAGTAAATCCAGCAGTAAGGGATGCGGGGCGCATCCGGGAACAGAGGTTTCTGCAGCAAGACCATTCTCGCTGCCGACTCAATAGGGGAGCAATGGGCACAGCAACCCGACCCATAGGAAGCAAACTGCCCTCCCATTGGCAGCCTCTTCTTCAGTGTCTCCAGACTTCCCTGCACCCATGTGCCAAGTGACTGTATTACTAATGGCTCTTTCTAGGCCTTGGTAGAGAGACACAGTTGCCCAGCGAGGCAGCTGCCCGGTCCAGCGTTCCCTTGCCAGCATCTCTGCCTTGCAATGTCTGAACTCATCACAGCCAGGCCTGACCAGGTGGAGGGACTCAACTCTAGTGTGGTGTGTGCTCAGCACAGACAAGAGTGCCTCTGCAGACCAGGGATCTGTGCTCCAAGGATGCGGGGGACCCCATCAGCACAACCGGGAGAAATCACCTCATCGCACCAGGCTGCGGCTTAAAACAGAAAGAGCGCTCACAGGTTGTGGCCCAGCGTTTGCAACTGGAAACAGCATCACAAAAACCTTTCTTTCCAAAAAAGCTTTCCCTACTTTTAAGTTGCTTTGAAAAGGCAATTCCCACAGATGTTTTGGCCGTATTACCCACTGGGGAGGGGAGGACAGACCTGCATCATCTAAACTATTCCAGCAGCTGTGAAACAAACAGGCAAATTAGGAGTCCCCTTAATGGGGCAAGGACGTTCAATGAAACAACAACTGTTTCAGGTAGTCACTGCATTTTATTGGAAAACATTGATATAATTTTATTTTCACAGCTTGAACTGAACACAACACCACCTGCTTTCAAAAGACATTCTTGCTCCATACTTCCCCACGCCCTCTTCCCAAGCTCTCACGCGAGATCTCTCCCCCCTCCACTCACAAAGGGGTGCAGGAGACAGGCAAGTAAGAGGAAGCGTGGTCCAATGCACCATGGATGCACACAAAGCACTCTTCTTTCACCCGGTTTCAGGGAAATCCTGCTGATCGGTTCGATTTCCCTTCCAAAACAGTTTTATTTTCGTTTGATTAAAAAATAAACGTGAAAAAGAGAAGCAACTTAGTCTGCGGCTCATGCTGGTTGCCGCCAGGAAAGGGGGAGCAGGGAAACCGGCGAAGGAAGGAAGCAACATTGAAGAGCAGAGACACAAAAGCCAAGGTGCGGCACAAGCATTAAACCGAGAGCCACTACGAAAAGAAGCGTTGCACGAGGAAAGGGTAGGGAGAAAAGGGCGTTCTGGCGCAGTTGGCATTTACTCAGCAGCTGCTTCACTGTTTTATTGCGGTTCCATTCCAACGCCTCCCCCACTCCCTCCCCCCAAGCTGCCAATCAAAAGCATCCACCATCGCTACCCCCAAAGGGGCTTGTAGCATCAGATATTTACATAGCAGCTCTTGTTGTCTGGACACAATGCCTAGGAAACTGTCGGGACATTTACAATTTATACAGGGTTAAAGAATAGAGACAGAAGTTGAAACTGTGGGTGGTTGAGTTTGCGTTTGTAAAAGAGCCAATCGGACAGTATCGGACACTTCCCTTCCCCCTCTCTATCAGCCTCTTCCCCAGATCTTGCCGACAGAGCTCTCTGGAGCCCACCTTCAGCGGCACCCACCCAGAGGGTGGGACAGCTCCCCTTTCCCACCCTCCAAGAAAACGAAGCGAGAAAAAAAAAGAAGCCCAGTGTCTTCCTTGCACCCCCTGGTGTTCCTTGGGGCAAGACCTTCGGTGGCGACAGCCATGTCAACGCACACGACCACAGCGCCAGACACATGCAACACGAGTAAGGAGGTTTTTGCGCTCTCTCCACCCCATCGTGTGGATTCTTGAAAGAAAGAAAATCTGCGCCCTGGGAGACGGGCCAGTTCTGACCGCAGAACAGAAGGAGACCTGATGGAAACAAAGACATCCACAAGGCTGGGGGCTCAAAGGGACTGTAGGGGGCGGCACCAGGGAGGGAGGGAGGGATGGAAGGAAAGAGGGAAAGAAGAAAGGAAGGAAGGAAAAAAGGAAGGAAGAAAGGAAGGAAAGAGCCAGAAGAGAGGAGGGGGAGATGAGTGCAATCATGCAGCTTGGGAAGTTTTTTTTTCTTTAATTGCTTGGTCAGATTTATTCCACAGCCGATTGTTTGCTTAGAGAACCAGGTTACTTAAGTAGAGAGAGTGTGTTGGAGAAAAGTATCGAAGGAGAATGGGCATTGCCAGCCACCCACTCTGCGGGCTTCACTTTGCGGTCATCATCTGCACAAACTCTGCAAGAGACACAGGAAGAGAAACCACTGTAAGGACAAGGACTTCAACTGAATTGCCCCCACCAACCTTGCTAGCTTTCACACCGATGCAGCCACCTTGAGATCCCCTAACCTGCTGTCTGGGCCGTTCGTTCAGAAAATGGTCACACTGAGTCACTCGCTTGGATCTCACATTTTGGTGAAAGGAGGTTTCAGTCAGAAATGTGATTGCACTGTCCGTTTTACCACATGTCTCCACCCAGAAACAGTAGAGGACAGGGGGATATTTTCACTGAATATTCACATGCACTTCCTCTTGTTGTAAATAATGCATGATCAGCACCAAAGAAAGGTAGCCTCTCCCAACCAAGGAACGCCACGTGAGCTAAAGAGCTGGCCAATGTTTAAACACCAGCGCAGCATTTCTCTGAACCATAAGAGGGGGTCGAGAACGGCACATCCAAGGCAGGCCACAATGGGGTAGAGAGAAAACCCTGGTCCTATTGCTTAAACTTATTAAAACAAGGCCTGAAGAAAATGCAGCCATCCCGTGCTTTAAGTGTCTGCAGGCACAGGGGTCTCGTGCACTGATCCACGAGAGAATTAAAGAATAGGTCAGCTGAAGTTTGGCACATTTCAGTCCAAGATGTATCACCTTCAAATTGGGACTCCAAAGTATATCCCAATGTGGTTAGTGTTCTTCCGGCCCGAAAGCTGAGGTTTAGTCTACATGAAGCCCCTCAGAGGCCCACAGGCAGCGCTCTGGCACAAAAAGGCCTACCAATGACAAGGCAAGAGTTTCTCCCACTCACCTTCATAGTTGACCTGCCCGTCTCCATCAATATCTGCCTCCCTTATCATTTCATCCACTTCCTCGTCTGTGAGCTTCTCCCCTAAGTTTGTCATCACGTGGCGTAACTCAGCTGCACTAATGTAGCCGTTCCCATCCTGAAAAGAAAGGAAATCGTTCAGTGCAAAGGCACAACAGGGAGCCCCTTCAGTGGTGATCCTGGCAGGAGATGTTGCTTTTGCCCTCTGGCACCTTCAGTTCCACGAAAGAGAACACAACAGCTCTCAGTCCTGTCTCCATGTTCACACTAGGAAGGCGGTGGCCCTTGCCTGCAACCTCACCTTATCAAACACTCTGAACGCCTCCCGAATCTCCTCCTCACTGTCTGTGTCCTTCATTTTCCTCGCCATCATGGTCAAGAACTCTGGGAAGTCAATAGTACCATTCCCTGAAAACAGCAATTGGCACAGATGAGATGAAGCCAACAGAAACCAAAACAGTAGCATACAGGCGCAAATGGTCAAGAAGAGTCAACCTTGAAGGCTGAAGCCCCATGTGCTAGTCAGCCAGTGAAGATGCGTTATTTTAAGAGGAGACAACGAGGACTAGAATCATGACAAAGCTTTCTGGTTTATTAGTTCCACAAGGGACACAGCCAGGCACTGAAGGGAACATCTACAGAGCACCTGCCTGAGAAGTAATACTGCCAGCCAAGACAATTAATTCTTCAGGTGCTTGGGGGGTGGGGGGTGGGGCGCTATACATTTTGATGCTCCTGGAGGGAACCCTAGTGTTGCTTCTCAACAGAGGACTCTTCATATATCCCAAACTACTTTCTCTTCCATTGTTCCCACCATCTGCTAACCAATATCCTGCTGTCCCCAATCCTCAGAATACCGCCCCCTTTCACTCACTGGCAGCTACTATAAGCTAGGCAGTTATTAAAAGCCAGTACTGCTGGCGGTTCTCATAGCTAGCACTACATCAAACAAACTAACATTCTGCCATAATTTGCCCACGACACTGACAGCCACCAGAAGAAAGAGACGCAGCAGGACTTGACTCATTAGAACACGGTGTTCTGCTCCAGCACGACCAAGCCAAGCTAAAATATTAGAGCAAGCACCTGTAGGATTCACACATTTTAGCTCGTTTATTCGGCACCCACTTACCATCAGCATCCACTTCATTGATCATGTCCTGCAGTTCTGCCTCAGTGGGGTTCTGCCCCAGAGACCTCATAACGGTGCCCAGCTCCTTGGTGGTGATGGTGCCATCCCCGTCCTTGTCAAAGAGGGAGAAGGCCTCCTTGAATTCTAGGGGAAAGGAGGACTGTTGGAAACTATCCAGAATTCAAGTGTTGTTATACCTTTAGAAGTTATCCTGGAACCTTGAACAATCATGAGGTCTAGACAACTCCACCCCAAATTCTTTGGGGGAAAAGGAAACCAGACCAAGTCTAGGGAGGTCTTGAAATCCCTAAAAGGTTTGGCACCCATGTTTCTTTAACTTTCCAGCTGAGAGTATCATGGGGTGTTTTGCAGCTTGGACCCAACAGCTGGAGAAATAACCCTTCGTACCAGTCCTATAGAAAGAAAAGTGGTTCTCAGCTTTTGATTCTCCAGATGGTTTGGCTGCTAACCAGAAGCTAGAGTCAGCCAACAGATAGGGATGCTGGAAGCTGATGCCCAAACATCTGGAAGGCCAAAGGCAGAGAACTATCAGCACAGGAAGCACTAAAAGGACTTTAAAGATGACCAGAGATAATGATTCATCCCTGTGCTTATTTAATCCTTGTATTTTTACATTTATTTCTTTTATTCGCACCCTGTCCTTCTCTCAGCACAAGGCCCAAGGTAGCTTCTCCTCAGCAGAGAAAAGAGGATTGGTGGCCCCACTGCGGGCCTGGTTGTGAAGTGTGACTGACACACAGCTCCCCTTCAGTGACACAGGCAACTTCCAGCTGAAGAGGAGATGCTCCTGTGTTCAGCCTGCAGGAGAGCAGTACCTGAATTTGTATCCACGGCCATGGCAAAATGAAGACTTACCTGCAATCTGCTCTTCAGTGAGCTGGTCAGCCTAAAAGCACAGAGAGAGAGAGAAGAGAAATTAACTGCTGAGTCACAGTCCTTTTGGCATCTTCATCAACCACCCAAGCCAGACCTCCTGCGGATGAGGCACCAGGAGCAGTATCATTTCTCCTATCAGTTTTCCTTTTTGCTCCTAGTCCCAGTTCACTCAGCTTGTGACCTGCTCAAATAAACACAATCAGGCAGCTATGAAAACATGCTTTCTACATGTCAAGAAGCCTCCTATTTGTCACCAGCTTGTGGCTGTGGAAAAAAAAAATACAAAGCTGGCTGTCGCACATGCCTGCATTCGTCCTAGTGAGACGCAAAGGTGTGGTTTCTTCCCTCATTCCTGCAGCTTAAGATAAGCCCTGCTTAAAAACCCACTTTCCTCCTCCTCTAGACAGCAGCAGGTATCCCAAACTTCAGGGCTAGAAGGGGCTTCCAACGCACTGCTCCCCACAGAGCAGCTGGGGTCTCACCCTGACTGTCACTCAATGTTTCCTCCCACTTAGCATGCATTGCCTCCCATTACTTTTGCCAACTCCAACTCCTGTTAGGAAGGAACAACAAGACCCAAGAGCAAACAAGGAGGATTTTTAATGAGGTTGGGATCCTAACAAGGAATCATTTTAATGAGCATGCCGATACTCTTCGTAAGGTCAAAGCTGGACTGAATGCCTGATTGCCTAGCGACCACCTCCATGCTCTGTTTTGAACAAAACGTGCCTGTACCCATTTCCTTCCACCCTGCACGTGCCCCCAATCCCTGCTGGTGCCTCACAAGTCAGGCTACACGGACTAGACCAGAGTGCACCACAAGACACACACAGACAACTGTGTGGGGTACATGGAGACTAAGGGTCCAGTTAACACAAGCAGTATGAATACAAACGTGACTATTTGTGGAATCTGCAGATTTGCGTTCCATACATCCCAATGCTTAACTGAACACCCTGGATCAAACTGCATCCAGGCTACATAGAAATCCAGCAGATACCAAATCCTCCAGGAAAAGGAAGTTGCAGCTCAGGCCACCCCCTCATGGAAACCTCCTAGTCCTGCTAGACAGGCTCCTGGAGCAACCGCAACGGAAAGTGGAAAAAGTGAGCCTCTCTTCTGCTCCCTGGTCATTCAACTTCAGGGAATGACAGCCAGCATCTCCTTGCTGACTCACTCACTCACTCCCTCTCTGCAAAGGGGGAGTCCAGCTGTCCCTGCCCTCTCAATGGCAACCAAGACAAGAAAGGTGCAACTGCAGTATTTTCAGGAGACCGCTTTCAGTTTTGTTCCTTCAAAGTAGGCCTTTGGGATAAAAGCCAGGACAGCAAGTCATGCCACTTTGCCACGGCTGGTGTGTTAAAAGACTGTGATCAGGAAAACGCGGGTTCAGCCCCTGACTCTTCCCCGAGGCTTTGCTGGGTGGTCTTGGGCCAAGCCTAACCTCTCTCAGAGCACGGTTGTGAAGGCAAGAGGAAGCCACAAGCCACCATGCTGGGCTCCTGGGAATAGCATAATCAATATCCCAGCCTGAGGAAAAGTGCAGGTGTTGACCAACACCAACAAAGTGCTAAGGAGAGAAAGAAAAAAACACTCTGGCCTTTGTATTAGCACCACATGACAGGACTTCTGGGCACCTCCCGAGGAGCAGTGCCTCCACGGCGTCCCCCTTGCTCAGGGCGGGCTGTGCCATTCAGTCATGCTTGTGCACGGACTGGGCCGCTGCCTGCAGCTCACACCCACCCAGCCACCCAGCCCTTGTTCAAGCCTTGCTGACTCTGGACGCAGGGGCTGTCTGTCACACAAGGATCCCTTGGACTCTCGCCTCCACTGCAGTCGCAGCCGCTCCAGCGCTGCAGTGCCGCAAGAGGAAGCGCAGAAGGCACCCAACAAACCTGTTAGCCTCGGGGGGGGGGGAGATCTGCTCCCTGGAAAATGCAGATGCCACCAAAGGATTGCCAAGGAGGCAAGGTTCAAAATGATGCCGAGGGGGGAGGCCCCAGAAAGGCCCACATAAAAGCTCTGATGTGGCCACAGGAAGTCCCCTCACGCCCTCATTCTGGAAAAATCCATTTTGGCTGAAAGCAAGACCAACTCTTCCTTTACCAGAAGGAGAGGTGTTCAGTTCAACAGACTGCAGTGGCCTCAACAACACCCCCACCCACCCCCGGTGCCACAAGGATGACAAAGCAATTCTGGGCTAGCAACAGAGGCTGAGAACTGGGGAAGGTTTCATCTCAATGCTCCTCAAAAGGTCACACAAGCACAGGATGAGGGGCAGCACAGCACAATGGCCATCTCACCAAACTGGGCTTATCCTTTCTTTGAACTGAACCACACAGAACTGACAGGGACAAAACAGCAGGGCACAAGAAAAAACTGGCTTTCATTTTGGTCCAAAAACTCTTATCAGGCCAAGACCCATTTTGAGATCGAGACAGAGAGAGTTCCATTGTGGCCCCCAAACCCAAACTGTGTTGCTCCCTGTTCAGTCCTACTTAACATGGACTGTCTCTAGTATGTGTTACAATAGTTCTGAGAAAAATAAGACAGCAACCTTCCGGGAGAGGCTTTTCAGATAACTGGAGAGGAAGATGCTCTTAAAAGTAGGTCAACACAACAAGGAGAACCAGAGAGAAAATATTAATATAATGGCCTTGGTTATCTACTAGGACATGCCAAAGGGAAATGCACAATCAAACGTGTGGACTTTCTTTTTTGCAACAGACTGAAGCCATTAGTGCATCATTCATGAGCCGGAAGCTGCAGTGGGCACAGAAGGGAAACTGGAAGGACCCTGAGCATCTTCACAGGTGACCAGCTTTTCTTATGGCACTCTTCTTCCATTCCGATCCCTCTTTCTACACAGAGAGCAATAACACTGCCAGCTTCAGACATCAAACCTAGCAAAATGCACCCTCAATATGGAACAAAATGGAAGCAGCCATCAACTCAAAACTTCCAATGAAGGAAAAAACAAAAATGTGACATATGGTTAAGTCCCACATTGATCAACCTAATCAACTGCTCCTCTAGAATCACTCTACCTCTATGTGCTTCACATTTGCTGGCTCCTCTTCTCCATGCAAGGACTCCCCCTCCTCAAAACTTCCCACAGCATACAAAGTAGCCCCCAGATGGCCACATCCTGCTCTATGGCTTGCTCTGATGCAAATACCCTAGAATCTTATTACACTATGTCAGCTTAAATCTCATCTGAAGTCATCTCTGACAGTTGGATTCCCACTGCCACCACTGCTGTTTCCCCTTACTGGTCACTATCAGGAGAAAAACACTGCATTAGTTAAAACTGCGTCCTGGAAAGCCTCAGTTCCATGTTTCTGTTGAAGTCAAATGTCATATTCCTTGTTTCTGAGACTCCGTGAACACTTTGCAAAGATCAAATGGCACACCACTGTTAAAACAAGACAGGTGTGGAAGTGAGCAATCATTTGAATTGGAAACAACCAACACATATGGTACCAGCTTTAAACACAGGTTTAAAAGCTGGTACCTACACCTGTCCTAGAAATACAGCTTCTTACGGATAACCACCCAGAATATGGGTTCCTATGTATCTGGAAGCACCCACACCAACATACTGTCCACGCTAAATATACATGATGCATCAAATGCACTCTGGACAGTGAGGAAATTCTGTTCTTTCTGGACACCAAACCACGCTGTATTCTGTCCTATACTGCAGATCTGCCTTTCACGGGAGACAAAGAGCACCGACCCCTCTCAGTTTTGCCTGCGCCATGCGTACACTCCCATTGGGCCCTGCAATGCTACAGATACCAGCTGCATCTTCCAGGATTGTGTCTGCTCTTGCTGAGCAACAACCTGTCAACTTACTTCAGAGCAGGCACCCCTTCTCCCTAGCCCCACAGTCTGTCACCAGAGCTACAGGGAGCTAGAAGATGCCCTCCCTCACGCATTGCCCTCGACCCCAGGCATCTGCACCCAAACTTCCTGTGCCCAAGTTGCGCTTTCTTCAGATGCAGCTCTTCCTCACAAGCATCCCACCGCTGGCAACCAGAATGAGCAAAGGTCCTAATCTGGGCGGGGCAGGTTCAAGCATCATCAGACTTCCACTCCCAGAAACCGTGACCGCTGCCCAGGCTAGTCAGGGCTTCTGGGAGCTGACGCCCAACGGAATCTGGCATTGCCCTCCTCCCTCCGCCATCCACCCTGCATCACCACTGGGGTGCAAGTCTTCACCCACCCCAAGGATCTCCCTTGGCCCGGCCCCACAACCCTGGCCTAGGGATGGCCAGCCCACCACCACCCCTTCCATTACCCCATGGGGGGGCATGTGATCCTCCTGTCAAGCACCAGCCAGCCAGGCCATCTGTCCACAGTGCCACCCCCTCC